GTTCACAGTAATGGAAAGAAAATCATAAACTTTGTTAGATGATACTTTATCTTAACCACTTCATCATAGAGACGAGTTTGTCCTGCTGGATGGCTTCATGAATTCACGAAAGTCAGGGAATAAACTGGTTTAGGCAAATGGGCTTTGGGCAGAAAATCTTGTCCTAGACAATTCTTCAAGACTGTATCTGGCACCATTTCTTTATGTTACGGGACTTGCAAGCCATGAATTTACCTTTGATTCTTCCTTTCACTCCATCACCTGCAAAGACCTACTGTTTTCTTCTGTCTCTTTTTTTCTGGTTCTGTAACCCCTACTGGAGTTACTATCTGCTACCACTAACCCCTTAACTGGTTTCCCCAGATCCACCCTAGACACTGGTCTAGCAGTCTTAAAATTCTCTGCATCAGCTTCTGACTTCCAAGCTAGAATAAACTTCATGGTATTACAGACTGCCAATGCCCTACCTATGGTACCAGCTTTGTTTGTTGTCCCCCCCCCCCCAAATACTTTCTGTTTCAAGAAAACTGGACCATTCCTTCGTGTATTTTACTGTACCTTCTTCCTCAGAATATTCTACCTATGATTTCCAGGGGTCTTCCCCAGTGTCTTCTCCCTGAATCCTGTACTAACTAGCCCTTCTCCGCGTGAGCACTTACTGCTATGAACCTTGTCTATGCTCACACATTTCTTATGACTCCTTTAGTTTATATTAGGACATTCTTTCCTTTTTCCCTGAGGACAGATGGTAAGTTTCTTGGGGACAAATACTGTATTTTCTCATTGTTAGATCCCCTGGCCAGCTAACTGGATATACCAGTTAAGACTTGTTGAATTATAATAAATTATACTTCATTGTTAAAAATAAACATGAAGGCAAGAGAGGTCATTCTTGGCTTAAGTATTTAAAAAAAAAAAAAAAAAAGATGGAGGCTTCAGTTCACTCCAAATGCTGTTAGCCTCTTAATAAGCTATCAACAACCAGCAAATTACTGAGCCAGTGAATGCAATTCAAAGCATTATATCCATGAGTCATGCTGGCAGCTGGGCAGCTCGGCAGCTCTCTGGCTGCTTGGGCACAGAACATTCATCAGAGACATCTCTGGAACAGCCACAAGAATGAGCAAGTTAACCACAGTGTTAGATGTCACAGCTGGACCAACAACCCAAAGCAGGTCTCTAAGCTTTGCAGGTCCTCCCTTATGTGAATGACACAGGCAAGGTACAGCTGCAGAGCACTGGCCACACCCTACAGTCTCTGGTGGCATTAAGAAGCACATTCTCTACTGGGGGTGGGGAAGTGCAAGAGGGTGGTGTATGCAATATGCATGTCATTAACATCCTGTCAGTAAAAGCATAAAAGTACTAATAGACACACTAGATCATATGCAAAACCAGGGGGTTGTCGTTATTTTAAATTGTATTTTAGACAAAGCTCTTAAGATAGTTGACATTCTAACATAAATCTATGAAACTATTTGTTACTTTACATTAAGTTTTAAGAATTCAAGGAGGAATAAAAGCTATGAAGTTGTGTTTGGTTTCTTGCTTGTATGTGGTATTCACACGTGGAAGCCAGAAGTTTAGACTCAGTGTCTTCTCCAGTCACACTCCAACACCAAAATGGAACATTAAGGCAGGGTCTCTCTTGCTGAATCCAGAGCTCACCAGTTCTAGTGTGGCTAGTTGCTTGTTCCTGCTGTTTCCTTTCTCTGCCCTTTAAGTGCTGGGATCATAGGCAGGATGCCACAGCTGCTCGGCTTTACACCAGTGTTAGGGACCCACTCTGGTCCCTGAACTATCTCCCTAGCTCTGACATTGTGTGTCTGCGTGCATGTGTGTGTGTGTGTGTGTGTGTGTAAAGGAATCCAATAAAAAAATTACAGGTGTTTCTGATGGTAATTATATTTAGTCTCTTTTGAAATATGGTTTCAAAGAAGGGAGCATCATTACTAAAAAACTTCAAGGAAAGGCTCGGGAGCAAACATAAAGATAGAGTGTCAGAGCATTTTATTTGATGGGCAACAACAATACTTAATAGAAATGATACACGAATGCATGTGTTATTTCTAGGTTCTGTTGCAGTTGTGCAAGAGAATAGAATATGGGAAAAAATTGGTCTAATGAAGGCATGAAGAGGGACAGGAAGGGACATTGCAAACAGAGGGAAGGTAGTTAGATTAGGCAGTAATGACATTAATGTCTTCAGAAGAGTGATAGAGAATACCAAGGTTAAACAGAACTGACCACTTTTAAATGTAATCATAAGGTGCTGGGAAATCTCTATAGCAGTCAATGAGCCAATAATACTTTAGGTTTTAATTAACAGGATTGTAAGAAAAGACCTTAGGTTTACTATGCCATTAAATTCTAATCTCAGCCCTGACAGATCAATACTGTCAAACCTATTGTTAAGAATTAAAAACTAAAGTTAGAGAAGGTAAATGGCAGATCAAAGATCTCATGTCTGGTAACAAAGCCAGGGGCAGAACTATGGCAGACTCCGTTCATTCGTTCGTTCGTTCGTTCATTCATTTATTCACTCACTCACTCACTCACTCACTCACTCACTCACTCACTCACTCACTCATTTCCTCAAGACATATTTACCAGTGTGGTCCTACTGACCTAGAAGTACCTAGTGAAGAAAACAAAGTTCTCAACCTCTGTTATCATCTGATAAGAAAGAAAGCTAATTAAATAAGCCAGCATCTAATTTGGGGATTTGACGAGTACTGGAAGCAAAGCTGCTATGGAGAATGAACAGAATAAAATGAGGCATTACAAATTAGATCCTAAAGGTAGAGAGGTCCAACTAAGTAAGAGGTAAAGAATGGGAAGAATCCAGCTGTGATAAAAAGGGAGGAAGCAAGCCAGAAGGAGAGCAGATACAGGAATCTTGAGATGGGCCTACACAGGCAGGAGATGAGGTGAAGAACATGATTCAAAAGGAGGGTTGCAAGGCAAGGTCACAGAGCAAGGGTTGCTACAAGTTACAGGTTTGCATTATTTCAAGTTCAATGGAAAGGCAGAGAATAACCTTATTAGGGCTCCTAGAGAATCACACTGGTCGCTGTGTGAATAACAAGCAATAACAGAAATAGAGAGAGCAGGTAGCAAGCTTTTTGCCAGATTTCAGGAAAGACATGGCTGATGGAGAGAGACAGTGGCAGTGGCAATAAAAGAAAACAGTTCTGAGGGTGATCAGACATGCTGCCTTTGGTGGTGACAACCAAAGTCCTCTCTCCTATGAACGGTATGCAATATGATTTCCCTACCATACGTTTATATTAGAAATGAACTATGCTTGCACTGGTGTCTTAAACTACATATTAAAAAAAATACACAGTACATACTGTCACACACACATGCCTACTGATGAGTCTTACCTTTGCTACTTTGTTGGGTTTATACGATTCTAAGCCTTAGGCGTTATATACACAGGTGAGGCTTCTCTCACAGGTTGGTTGCAAGAACCGTTCTAGCAATTCCAGAATAGCAGGACATTCTGGCATGCAGGAGAAAGACAACAAATGATGGACACTTTCCCCTTCCCATATTCTTCCTCCAACAGTAGCGTAAGAGCACACAGAACACTGGTGCACACAAATGAGTTCTGTGCTCAGATAATGGGAACACACTCAAGCTTTCTACAATCCAGTTACCAGAGCCAAAGAGCATTTACATGGCAGGTCCAACCTCTGTCACATCCATCTTCACACCTGACTGGGAAGGTTGCCAGATAAAATATGGGATACCCAGTTAAATTTGGATTCCAAGTAAGTCAAAAAACCTTAAGATATGCCCATGTTTGACAACAATTTAAAGTTTTAAATTAGTTATCTGCAATTCAGACCTAAACTAAGTATACTGTATTTTGAGCTGTTACATCTGGCAATCTTATGACTCAGGCTCTAGTAGGAACAAACTGTCCTATGATTCTCCCTTCATAGTGCCCACGAGATGTTGATGCTTCTCTGTATAAGATGGATGTCTCTCACCATCACAGAGCTGTTCCTCAATTTCCACGTTTTTTTCATATTTCATTCATCACTTCTCAGTCTGAATACTAAGTGTATGAATGTCAAAAATCTAAGGAATAGCATTATATTGGGAATTTTGTCATGCAGTCCTAAAGAATGCTGGTCCATCCGTGCATGTGTGTTTGTGGGTGGATATAGTGGTGTGTGCACCTGCTGTGTTAACCTTTTAAAATAAAGATTACAGTAACAGCACATCAGGAATAATACCTTTTAAGAGTTTTCTAGTCATAGTGAATTAAATCTGCATTCACAATCATGAAAGCTACTTAGATCCCATAGTAGTAGAACCAATTATTGAATAAACTGGAAGAGAAAGCTTTGAATTTACTCAATAATCACTGTCTATCAAAAGCTAAGAGCAGAAAATCCTTCACTTAAAAATTGTAACACATGAAAATAGTTTAAAAGTGTAGACCACAGTTTTCTCTGAATACCTCTCTTGCATACACTCAACTGTTTCGATTTCTGTTTCACTATGGAGGGAGAAAGTCAAAGAAAGCATAAATCCAGTTATGGACATGAGATGTCCAAAGCAGCATTAGTATTCGCTACTGTTTCACAGATGATGAGCTTTCCTGTCCCAGAATGAAAACACACAGAGGAGGTTGTACCATTCAATACATAAATTATCTAGCAGTGCAGTGTATTTTCATTCTGGTTCAAGCTTACTTATATTTTGTGAACTGAAAACAAAATACTCATAGACTGGTGCTAGTCTGGAGGCCATATTTTGGCTACTACCAAAGTAGGAGATTCCAGAAATTAGCACTTCATATCTTCAATATGATGACACAAATAGAGACCTCTTCCTTCTGATCATTTCACTCAACAAGGGTCCTTTTATTTCCCTGAACAAAGAAACAGATATTTTCATCATCCCTAACAACCTCCCTGAGCCTAAGGATCTATAAAAACAGTAGCTGCCCCAAGTTTAGAAAGAAGATGACGCGTGCTTACTCTTCTTGGCGTAAGTCATTGACGCTGCGGTCCAGTGAGATCATGTCACTTGCCACCATGTTAAATCCGAACTCCTTAATGCTGGCTTGAACTGCTTGCTTGTATTCTGGTCCCAGAACCAATGGCTTGGCTTTCTCTCCAGGGCCACCAACCACTCCATGAGGCTCGGGTTCTTTGGGTTCAAAGTTACCGAGGACCCCTGGGCGTAGCACAGGATCATGGTAGGTGAAAGTCTGAGGCTTAAATGTGAGGAACTGTCTCTGTATTATGTCTTTTTGGGAATCTCCTCCAGCATGACGCTCCTGTTCATTTTTGGCCTTGTTTTTTCTTCTAATTGACTCTAAATCCACTTCTACTCCTTCAACATGAGGCCATGGTACCACAGGTTTGAATCTGTCATCCCCAGGAGCTAATCCATTGCCTCCTCGGTTAGGCATAGGGTTATTGACATCTCTGTCTTCCTATACAAAAGGGAGGGGATATACAATGAGTACATGAAGGCACACCAACCACAGCAGAATTCATATTACAAACTTTCATGTTCAAGAAAAGGCTGAGGCAATGACAAAACAGTTTAAAATGTGAAATGCAAGCAGGATACCATTAATCAGGATGCTGTACTGGAAGACATCTTTCAGATTGGATCAAAAAGGCTATTTTCTCACCTTATTATTTCAAAATAAATGAACACATTTTTTACTTGTCTCTTCATAAATTTAACTCTCTTTAAAAGATTTCTCAATGACTGAGACAGATACTTAATTGGTCTTATGGTACAGCAATGTTTTTTAGCCTGTTGATATATGACAAATAGAACCTTTTGTTAGCAATACAGCCATATGGTAGCAATGATATCAGATGCATGTCACACAGCCAACTGGCTTTGTGCCCAAAATGGCAGAGGAACAAGGTAAACATATGCATTTGATCCCAATTCAGGATTTTCTACTCACTCAGAGTAAGTAGAAACAAACAAAACTCAAATAATTGTAACCAAGGCACCACGGCCTTTAAATCTCTCTCTGCACTTGACTTTGCCACATCCAGGTAATATGGTAAAGACAGGCCCTGCTTGTAAGAATATTTGGTAAGTGGTGCTCTCTTTTCAGTTTGGACCCTCTCCACCTACATAGATCTTTCACCAGAAATCCTCAGTGCTGTTGCTTCTGAGGTACACTATGTTAACCTTTTGCCAAGCCAATGCCATTCTTTTCATAAAGTGGTGTTTGTCGACATTAGCACCATCTCAGGGGACCTTAAAGAATACTAAAGTGCCAGTTCTCGGGCACTGTGATTTAATTGGTCTGGGCATGCAGAGTTTTAAAGGCACCCCAGGTTGTGTAATATGCACCTAAGCCTGAGAGCTACTAAGAGCTACTTGCTTAAAGGCAGAGAGTTAGCTGTAATTGGGCATAGGAGGTATAGAGCCAGCACAGCTGGGTAACGCAAGGCTCCCTGTGAACTGCAAAGTAGGCCAACTTGTCTGCCCAGTTACTCCATGTTTCAATTACACCATCCTCTAACAGGTCAATAACAGAGCTAGCTCAACCCCCCTCAAAATTTTAAATTGCATGACCCTGAGAATTAAAGTTCAAAACTTCATTTTAAAGAATATGTAAGAGTTCCAGGCACAACCAAGTGTTTAGGCTGCTACCTACTTGCAATTTATTACAGATAGAAATTTCTGTATTATGTATGATATTCCACATGGGAATCTAGGTAAGGAGTAACTAAGGACTGACTTTAGAGAATTCAATATGATTTTTTTTTAAAATTATTCATTTATTTGAGTAATATTATAGTATCCAATAAACTATAGGTCCAATAGGCACAAAATGAAAAGCAAGCTTTTCTACCTTTCCTTCTGTACTGGAAATCAATAGCTAACGACTGCTTATGATTTTCTCTAGAGATGCATATGAACATACATGTGTGTTTATAAAACAAGTGATTTTAACATGGAATGTAGACATTTGTTACTCCACTAACAAGAACCTATAAACATGTTACAATGGTTTCAAGGATAAACTCAAAGAACAAACAAGTACATAAATGTCAAGAATATTAGTTTAGACAGGGCAGCAATCAATTGTATTCTGTTATACACAATTTCCATTTCAGTGGACAAGAATTCTTTCTCAATATTATAAAATGGCCCAAAGATAACAAAAAGTGTAAAGACTAGAAGTAGGTGAATTACACAAGTCATTATTTGAGGTCACTTTAAAGTTGTCCCTAAAGCATGAAATACAAGATGCAATATAGCTTGATTACATAAATGTGATGCCCTTCTTCCAGAAGACATAGCTTTTGGATCAAGCTTCTGTGCCCATGGCTGTGTAGAAGACACTATGCTTGAATCTAACTTTGGGTCCTAATAACATCAGAGGCAAACAATTAGAAAAGAAAAGGCAATGCAAAAAGAAGGCAGAAGAGGGGGATCCTGGGGGTGGCTGGCAGCCAGAGGGTGGCAGGGGACACACGAGAGGGCAGTAGGAAAGGAGAATATAATATGAAAACAAAATATGATCTCTCTCTTACACACACATGCAGATGCACAGAAATGCCACAATGAAACTCAATACTTTTATACACTAACTTAAAACAATAAAAATAAGTAACTAGAAGGTCACCTGGCCAAAAAAATGTTCATGAAGGATTGGAGAGTCCCTCAGGATCAGGCAATCATAAGAAGAATGCACCCTAAGTATGACTAATTCTGCAACAGAGGGGCAAGTATTGAAGCCAACAAGTAGTTCCAATGAGGGTAGTGTGCCACTTTCTCTAATCTGTTTGCTGGCTCTTTCCAAATGTGCAGTGTTGTAGATGAATCAAAACAGAAATCATTAGAAAACACTGCAGGGTGTGAGAACAAAGCTATTGACATTGAACCAAATTTAGCATAAGAAGGCAGAAGTTCTCTCCCTTCAAATGTTCATATTATGAAGAATTTTGAGAATTGGTAGAATCTGTAGAAAGGAAATGGCATTGGATCTGAACAAGTGGTTGGAAGAGCCATACCACACACTAACTTATTGTGGTAGTTTGAATGTAAGTGGCCCCTGCAGTCTCATAGGGAGTGGCACTATTAGGAGGTGTTGCCATGTTGAAGGAAGTGTGTCACTGTGGGGGCTGGCTTTGAGATCTCCTATGCTCAAGATACCTCCCAGTTTCACACAGCACTTCATGTTGCCTTCTGATGAAGATGTAGCCAGCACCATGTCTGCCTGTGGGCCACCATGCTCCCCACCACGATAATGGACTGAACTTCTATATTGTAAGCAAGCTACCCCAATTAAATGTTTTCCTTTATGAGTGTTGCTGTGGTCATGATGTCTCTCCACAGCAGTAGAAACCCTAAGACTCTTACCCAATGTCTCATAAAAGGAAGCAGTATCAGAAGAATGTGGAATAGTACATGAAATGGATTTGAGATGGAGTATCACTTCACGTGTGTCTTTTACTAAGCATTGTTTTAATCTTTTCTTTGACTTAACGGTTGTCAGCTTTAAGGTGTTAGTGTATTTTAGGGTTCTATAACAAGTGTGTTCTATCTTTGTCCCTGGTTACCTCACTTTCTTCTAAGCTCAGTGACCACTTTTACACTGGTGGTTTCTTCTGTTCACTTCCCCAGGCCACACCACAATTCTGATTTCCAGATAATGTACACAACTGTTTTCTGATCCTTTACATTTATCAACTTTATCTCTAACAGAACCTACCCTTTGCCGCACATAAAGGTTTCATCACAGTCTTCTCTACCTCAGATCCCGGGATACCCACCCTCTATTGGGCTGATGAAGTTCAAAGCTACATTTCATGTCAACTTCTTGTTGACATTCTGTTCTACTGACATTCAGTCCCTTATGATTCCCTGTCAATTCTGTCACCTGGGTAGCTACGGAATTTGACTGCTTCCATTATCCTCACTGTGATTTACTTAATTTTGGCTAATCCCCTTTAGGGAAGACTATTATGATAGTAGTACCAGTGACAATTGGAAGATTGTGAACATTGTGTTCCAAATGCTTCTCATACATGAGCTTGTGTAATCTCATGAATGAGGCATGGTCATTATAATTCAGAAGGAGATGACCAAATTATCTGAGATCAGAATCAGTACCAAGTGAAATTACAATCTGCACTTTGACTGGCTGAAGAGGCCCTGCTCTGGATACCCATGCCACGCTCATGCTTCCCTTCTTTATGCGCCCACAGCCTCCCCTCATCGTTTCTTCCCTCACAACATTTAGAAGGATTCTCCTAAAATCAAATATGAAGATATTAACTTTGGTTGCTTCTATTTTACCTGTGGCCACAGGTCTCAGCAGGCATTCTCTAACAGCACTGACAAGATTTTTCTACACTCCAGGCTGCATCCATGTAATGTCTCTATTATTACCTAAGAAGAAGGGACTGAGTAAGTTTACCTAAGAGTCAACAGTACTTTTATTCTCTTTTACTTTGCAAACTACATGGTCTTTCTTTCAGCTATTCAACTCAGTTATTGTAGTGTGAAAGAAGTCACAGATATGTAAATAAATGAGGATGATTATGTTCAACAAAACTTTATATGCAAAGGTAGGTGGAAGGCTACCTGTACCTGACTGGAAGTTTGGTAAAAGGACAACAGTATCTATTATGCTTTTAGAATCTGTCTTGGTATGGAATTCCTCAATAAAAATTTACTAAATAAATGAATTCTAAAATATATGCTTTTGAACTTAAGAGAGACAGAGAAGAAAAGGAAAAGACAAAGAACGAAGGATATAGAATTGGGATCCACAGGCTCGGATCAGCAGGCAGACCCTTACTGGCAGTACCTTATGAATTCACTGGGGACACAACTATACTCTCTGCATGATATTGTGCTCTAATGATATATAACAGTGCCAGAAAAATGGAATCTCCTGGCTTCTCAACGCCTGTATGTCTATTAACTGTGAAGGTAGAACCAAACACTAGGAGAGTCTGTCAACCCCCATGTCAATTAGGAATAATCATGTCATCTCTTAAGGTTAGATGATTCAGAGAGCTCAGGCTCTAAAGCAGTGTAATTTTTAATTCCTTTGAGAAGCAAAGCTGTGCACTCCATCTTCCAGGGAGTAAATGACTCAGAAGCCTCCATGACTCACAGCACTATAACAGTGACTGACTTACTGTACAGCCAAAGCCAATGAATCACTGTTGACTAGGAGCGCAGAGACCCAGAAGTTACGTTTGCAGGATGATTACATTCACAAAGGTGGAAAAGAACAGAGAATACAAGCACTTATCACCAGATGGTAATATGAAATAGAACTGAGGTCAGACTAGTCACTGTCTACCTGATATTTTAAAACACTCCCTGCCCTGAACTCCCAAATCCTTTCTGTATGTCCCGTTTTTTTCCAGGATGACCACGCCTTAGTAAAGATGACACTAATCTAAAAGGACTATAAAAACGGTCTTCAGGGCAGGT